AATGGGGTTGTGCTCAGTGCCTAAATTTGTATGACATGTACTCTATTAACTTAATCAGTGGACAAATACTTATAGAACATTATGTGGAGTACAGTACAAAATACAGATTGTACATTTTTAAGAATACTTACAATACAAACATACTGCTAGCTTTGGTTCTGAAGATTTCAGTGAAATCTATTAAGAGTTCTCTGATACTCTCATGCTGAAAGTAGCTTTTGAATTATTAATCATTATATCATGCAATATTCTCTATTTTAAAATGACCACATGGTTTAAAATTATCTACCTATTTAGGAAAAAATTGACTGAAAACATTTATGTAAAACATGAAATGAAAAAAAGCAAACTAAAAAAAATATTATTATGAGTATAAACTTTTTTACCTAACTTTTCCAGAAAATTCAACATAATTTAAGGTAAGCTTTCTAGATGTGCCTGGACTCAGCTATGCAATTAAGCTTAGGTCTCTTGTGATAGATCTTTAAGAGAAGCAGGATGCCAGTGTGAAGTCTGTCATCTTTGTCTTGGCGTCTCGCTGGCATCCTACCATCAAAGGCCTAGGGGGGGAGGGAGCATGGTGGGATAAACAAATGGATAGTAAATCTCTTAGTATGTGATGGGAAATAGGGAGGGGGGAAATGACAGTTGAGGAAGACAAGGGATGCTTTGAACCTGTTTGTACCAACCTTCAAGGAACCAAGCTGCCAGAGAAAATGGGAAAGGAATGTTGATTGCTCCGAACATCAGACATTCCCAAAACCCTTAGACACCACCTCATTGGATGGTGTTGGACTGGACAAGGGGGGTTGGGATGGATCAACAAGAAAAGTCTGTATGCTTTCATGCGGGCAATATGTTGACTTTGTAAACTGCTTAGAGATGGCTGTAAAGCACTGTGAAGCGGTATATAAGTCTAAATGCTACTGCTATTGCTATCTGATCAATCCCCTTCAAGTATCGGGATTGAGTCTTTGTTGAATTTGTCTTATGAGCAATGTTGAAGTTGGTTACTTATTTCCAATTCCATCTTTCCATAAAATATCAGTATAGAATTAAATATATCTCCATAAATAGGATACTCTGGTGTTTGATATAAATAATTGATTGGTTAATCTACTATATATAATCCAGTCAGTGTTAACTCTTGTACAATGTGAGAGTTTTCCTTTGTCTTTAAATATTACTTCCAATCACCTTCATTGGATAAATCCCAATCCTAATCTTCTGAGTAGTTTCTCCATCTACTTTGTCCTTGTCTTGCACGACTTTATACACCTTTGATCTTGTGATCCCTCAGTTGTTGTTTTCTTAGCTAAAGATCCTGCTTAATTTCAGGGTCCGCCTGTTTTGCACAACATTCACCTACTTCACACAGTGAAACTATCAGTGCAAGATGTGATGAAGAGTTTTGCTTTTCAGCCAGCTTGCTGCAAAGCCTGATGTTGATTAAGGCTGAGAGGGAGTAACTGGCCCAAGATCACCTAGCTGCCTTCTGGGCTGAAGGAAGACTAGAACCCCAGTCTCTCTGCACCCAATCCAGCCCTTTACCACTATGCCACACTGGCTCCTTAAGTCAAGGTTGCTTATGAACACATTTAAAAACACTGGGCTCAAGACAGATCTGTTGAGAAAATTGCCGATTCTTATGTTTGGCTTTCTCTTTTTAACCAATTAGCACTCATAAAAGGACAGATCTCCCACAATTGCTAAATTCATTCAAGAGCCTTTGCTGATGGACAACATAGTTTTTAAAATCCGATTTTACAGTGTTAATGGGGCTACCTCCACCCAAGAAAGGCTCACACTTCAAAAAATTCTTAAGTTGTAGAGAAGAGACAGGATTTAGATTTACAAGTTTTACAGAATTCATGCTGATTTCTTCTTTCATTATGTGCAGGTAGTCCTTGATTTATGATTAAGCCCAACATTTCTGTTGTTAAACGAGACACTTATTAAGTGAATTTTGCCCCATTTTATGACCTTTCTTGCCACAGTTGTTAAGTGAATCACTGCAGTTGTTAAGTTGTTAAATGAATCTGGTTTCCCCATTGACTTTGCTTGTCAGAAGGTTGCAAAAGCTGATCACATGATCTTGGGACACTGAGACCGTCGTAAGTTTGAGTCAATTGCCAAGCATCTGGATTTTGATCATGTGACCATGGGGATGCTACAACAATCATAAGTTGAAAAATGGTTATAAGTTGCTTTTTTCCATGTTGTTGTAACTTTGAATGGTCATTAAATGAACTGTTGTAAGTCAAGGACTATCTTACAAAGTTTCTTTTCCTTTGATGACTATTTCCACCAATTTGCCTACAACAGAGGTTAAGATCACTGGCCTTTACTTTCCTGAACGTCTCCCGGAACCTTTGTGAAATGATGTCACATGGACTTCATTATAGCCCTCAGGCAGTGGTTTGGGAAGGGGGTAAGAGTTCATTGGGTTTTGTATTTGGAGTTTTATTTCTTTAAGCTGCCCATGTCACTGTGAGTGAACTGGGTGGTCATATACATTTTCTTAATAAGTAAATAAACAAACCAACCTTTTTCAATGAAAAAACAAGCTGTGTATTATTCCTGAGAGGTCAGCATATTTGTGTTTTTGACAAATTCTCATTGGACACCTAACATTTTTGAATTCGTCATTGGGATTCATTTGGGAGTCAATCATTAAATTATTAATTAAGTTTTGTTGATCACCCTAGAAGTTAGATTTCTCTCTGCTTGCATAACTGATTAATTGAAAAATTCTGCTTTTTAACTCAGGCTTTTCTGGAATTTCTTCTCATCTTTCTTATCTTCTTATCTTGCCTACTACCTTCTCCTATTGGTATCTATGATGATCACTTCTTGTTGCATCTTATAATTAATTATTGCAATATGATCAATGATATATAACCTTTCACTTTGTTGTTTGTATATACATTGAGAGCTTATGCACCGGAGACAAATTCCTTGTGGGTCCAATCACACTTGTCCAATAAAGAATTCTATCTATCTTTTTCAGAACATCATATTACACAGATAGGTCCATTTATATGGAGTCTATTTGGGGCTGATGCAGATAAAACAGTTGCTAGTTGGAGGCTGTGATCGTCTCCACAGGTCAAGGTGTATCCCCAAAATTGACACTGAACAATCTCTGCTGGAGTCCTGTGAGTGAGTGGAGTTGTCCACAATGTAGTCATATCAATAATTACATATACAATAATTTAAAATGCCCCTTATGTAGTAATCATTTGTAAATGCAGGCAGCAAATCTTTATTATCTTGCTAACAACTTGGACAGATAAACTAAGCTTGTGTGTGTGTGTGTGTGTGTGTGTGTGTGTGTGTTTGCATATGCGTTCACATTAGCAAATCTGACTGCAAGTGATTGTAATTTGTATGTTAGTGCTGAGCTGTTACTTTAATAGCAGATTAAGTTATGATAAAGATGGCAAGACCCAATTAAATTAAATACAGCTTAGTAATGTAGAAAATTTTACAAACTTGTTTGCAAGTGACATTGCATCCAGATACACGAGAATCAATAGGATAATAAAGAGCCTATGACCTGCATATTTTTGCAAGCTACAGTTGTCCTGTTTTGACAATCTGCTGAGGAAATACCAGGTTACTTATTTAGCTTTGCTTTTATCTTTGGGGCCATTGTATCCATTTTTTGAGAAAGGAAAAAGATATAAATACTAGCAGGTTCTTATGAAAGCTATGATTTTTAGGGTTTTTGGAAATTTTCCACTGTGGAGTTTCTCTTGATATTTTTATTTTGGTTTGGGGGGAAAAAGTGAGAGAAGTAGAAGGAAAGTGGCAACCTTCCAGCCCATGTAGCAGCTGGGAAGCCTGTAAAAAAACAACCCACCATCCTGACTGTATGTAGCCAATGGAATGATTGGATTGCATCTTATTGCAAACCAAGTGTTTGTTGGGTTATAGCTACTACACTGTCTTGATGACATTTGTGAAATAAAATTGCCTAACCAGTCTGCTTCAAAGCTAAGAGTTAGTCTCCTTGAATGCCTCTGGGTCTTAAAAAGAATGGACAGTGAATGGCTGAAAGGCAGCCCTTCACTATCACGTGGTCTGAAGAGAGAGAGAGAGAGGGAGGGAGGGAGGGAGGGAGGGAGGGAGGGAGAGAGAGAGAGAGAGAGAGAGAGAGAGAGAGAGAGCGCTGTGGTGAGGTTCTGTGTGTAGAGTTTCCAGGTTTTCTGGAAAGGTTGAATATGAATGAATGGGAAAGAGAAGCCAAGTTTGTGAGTTGATCCTGAAAGACACATAAAATGAAATAAAAAAATAAATGACTGGGATATATGCATGAAATGCAAAATTGACATTCTAAAGCTCAGACTCCATTTCTATATTTATTTTCAGGTTGAATTACTTGAATTTTAACTTTATTGGTTTGCTTTTCTGTGGCTTCTGTTAAAATGGAAAAATGAATTCAAATGAGTTATTCCCACCTATTGAACAGACCTTCTTGTTCAGAAGCTATATACCCTCAGTTGAACCTCCTTCTCAAATCATAGCAATCACAAATGGGAAATTTGATTGCCACCTCCTGTGCTTCCTTGGCAGTGTGAACTGTGCTTGCAGGCATTTCTGAGCATTTTAAAAGATTAACCATGGATGTCTTGATGTAAAACCAGCTGTATGTTTTGGATGATCTTTGGGTAGGGCTGGGAAGATTGGAGATAACGATAAACAACATGTCTGGTTTGTGTATTGTAGCATTTAAAGTGGCTTCCAACTGGTTTTCAGTTTCTGTGATATAATCATGAGTAGTAATTTTTAGCTTCAGCTTGTTAGGGGAAGAAACTATAGACATTGATTCAGCTGAAATGATAAACTAATCACAGAATAAATTTCCACAGCTCAAAAAAATAAATAAAAATAAACTGAGTAACATTTTGATTTACCTTTCTTTTTAATACCGGTATTATCCCAATGTTTCAAAATTAAACTTCCATTTTTATCATCAGTGTATCTTTTCTTTTTAGATAACTTGTGGAATGACCAAAATACAGAAGGAGAGATCGACCTTCCTTCAGGATGGAGGAAAATCCATGACTCTTCTGGTACTTATTACTGGCATGTGCCCACAGGAACCACTCAGTGGCAACACCCTTCTCGCACTTCTGGTTTGGGTCATGCTGGGGAAGCTGCATTTCCAGAAACGGTACTCTTTGACATACTATCAGTCCTATTACTATTTACTAGTCCTACTACTATCAGTCCTATTATTATAAACTGGTTAAGTCATATGACATATGTGTCACAAATGATGTGCAATGTCATTTTTGATGATATGCCTGGGGCTGCATGAGAAGGCGGTGTACTGTTGTGCAGCTTCTAAGCCTCCAAAAAGCGTGCAAGAATGGTGAGTGCTTTCCCTCTCTTTTTGGAGGCTGCAGGGCAATCACCATGGCTATTATAAACTGTATCATCATTACACTCTGGGTTCACAGAAGCATGACTAATTTATGTTGGATAATCTCAAGAATTCTGGCTTGTAAATTACAAGTTATTACTTAATGTTATATGTGAACCCAATCATTAGACTTACCTAATAAACCAGTAAAACAAACCATAGCTCAGGACTTATTATTATTATTATTATTATTATTATTATTATTATTATTATTATT